CTTTTGAGACATATCCAAGAAATCATTGCTAAATCCAGTGTCATGATGATTTGTTTTCTTTTGAATGTTTTATAGTTTTAGCTCTGGCATGTAGGTTTTCAATCCATTTTATTTATTTTTTATTTTTTTATTTTTTATTTTTTTGGTAGTTTTTTTTTTTTTCAAAGTTTTATTGATAAACAGCAATGAGACAGTTTCAAATCAAATCGGAAGTACAGTTTCAACAAATAATACACTGCATATATTCTTCTTAGTGGTTAATTGCTGTACAAGATGCGGACTTGTGATCCTATTTACTAACACCATTAGAATTCAATCCATTTTAATTTTTATATATGATGTTGTATAAAGGTCCAGCTTCATTCTCTTGTTTGTGAATATCCCAATTTTCCAGCACCGTTTGTTGAAGAGATGTGTCTTTTCCCTATTGCTTGGCTTTATAAATAGGCCTCACTTCTCACAGGTATATGAAATCTCTCAGTAGAATCACTATGAGAACATTCACCAGCCAAACGAAAGCTAGAATATGGAAGAAAGGTAAATTGGAATGTGAAAAAGTAAAAACAGAACTTATAGCTTCTTTTAGCTCCCTGTACAACCCTTAAACTTACAGCTCTCTGGCCAGATCTAAAGTCAGTGAACACATTGACTAGTCTTTATCCTAGGTGGCAGTCTGCCCAGTTGACTAGCAAGTCTCATTTAAGGGCAAATGATAGAGTGGATGTTGGGGCAGACACGTGTTCAGATAGGACCGCCTTTATTGAGCTCCTTTTTTTTTTTTAGTCTCTTTTGGATTTGGATACATATAAAAAAACTACAATGGCTTCATAAAATCAAAATAAGTGGCTATATAGATCTTGTTAACCTTTCTTTCTTCCTCAGGGACAATGGACCTCAGATAGCCTATGTTCGGGACTTCAAGGCAAAAGTTCAATATTTCCGATTCTGGTGTCAGGTTAGTATTAGGTCTGTATTTCTGTACTCCTTTCTTTTGTTATATTGTTCATATTACACAACGATTGTGAAAATAACTCACAGACAAACAAAGTGAAAATGTTGGGATCTCATTACTTTTTTTAGGATAGAGAAATACATGTATCAATTAAATAATTTGTGGGTTTGCTGGGCATGGTGGCACATAACATAATCCCAGTACTCAGGAGGCTGAGACAGGAGAATTGCTGCAAATTTGAGGCGAAAACTTGGGCTATAAAGTGAGATCAGAGCCAGTCTAAACTGTACAGTGAGACCCTGCCTCAAAAAGACAAATTAAAAAAGTGGCTTTTTTTGTTTTTCCAAATTAAGTTGGAAATCATTTGAATAAGAAAACATTGTCACTTTTTCCTTAGTATTTATTACGTTCACATTGTTTCAATTTTCAAATGTTAAAATTTTTTCCACTATTTAATTTATACATGACATCTTTTCATGCCTCATTTTTTTTTCCATAATTTTATTGAGAAACAAATAGCAATGAGACAGTTTCAAACCAAATTGGTAGGACAGTTTCAATAATTCACACATTGCATACATTCTTCCTAGTGGTTATGTACAAGATGCGGACATGGTATCCTATCTACAAACACCATTAGAACAAATCCCTCTATTCATTAATAGAATGTAGCTATATATCTATCTATCCTAACCACTTTGAATACACAGATACAAAATGGACATTCATCTGTATCCCCTTTTTTTTTTTAAGTTCTGTTATTTGAATATTATAGGTGTATTAACTCAGCAAAATATTCTAAAAGAGTCCAGTAGGCCATAGTAGTATTGGGTCTTCCGCTTGACTGGCAGTGTCAGAAATTGTTGACCTGAGTCCCCTACAGCTCAACATAACAGCATGGCTTTACTTCTTATATTTCGTTTTTATACTTTTCTGCTGGATGGTTAAGACCAAGGTAAAGCAGGACCTATGCAAAAAGAGTTGTAGCTTTTGGGTCTGATCAGGTCAGTGAAATCCCCTCAGGATTTATCCTGAGATCCTGTACCTCAGATTGTAGAACCTTTGTCAGTGTCAGCCATGTGGATGATCATGCCTCTTGTTTGATATGGTTTTCATATATATGTATGTATGTTCATACATTTATGACCATGTATATAGAAATACATTGTATTCAGAGTGCTTTTTTCTCAGATGTTATCAGTTACTTCTGATGTTTAAATTATCTGAACTAATTATTTTTTTTAGATTGTAAATAAAACGAATACAAGTTATTGTTAAGATGTCAAATATATTTCATCTTCCAACTTTTCTGAACTAACCTTTGGAAATAAGGCAAAGATTTGAGTCATTAAGTACGTGAACATATTAAATATTTTTTTCTGTTTGTCATAATATTCAGTAATATACAATCCATGTGAATATTTCTAAATACATGGATAAGCAGTATAGATTTATAGTCTTTTTTTCTATAAGCAAAGATAAAACTTTCACCAACTTTTTTTTTTTTTTTTTTTTTTTGGTCTTTTTAGTTGGTATGGGGTCTTGAGGGTCTTGCTACACAGTTCAGACTCATAGGGATCTTCCTGTCTCAACCTCCCCAGCACTACAGGTGTGTGCAACCATACCCAGTTTCGGTGGCTGGCATAACATGTGACACCAGGTCCTTGTATTTGCCAGGCAGGCACAGACCACCGAGCTATCTCTCCAGCCCCATACACACCTTCTGGTTTTTTGAGAGGCCATTTTAATAGTGAAAGTTGACGAATCATTTTTCTATTTCAGCAACTGGCCATGCCACAGCACATAAAGATTACAGTAACAAGAAAAACATTATTTGAGGATTCCTTTCAGCAGGTACTGTTTCATTCATTCTTTCGCTTTTTGGAGCAACTTTCTTTTTGCGGAACCAGGTATTGAACTCAGGCCCTTGCGCTTGCCAGGGAAGCGCTTATTCCACTGAGCCATCTCCTCAGCCCTCTTTCCCTTTTTGGCTGCAAACCCCATACTGCCTTTTGGTGCCAGCAGTTGTATCTGAACAATTTTGGGCCAGGGAGATAGTTCAGTAGAATAAGCGCTTGCCTGGCAAGTGCAAGGCCCTAAATTCAATCCCTGGTTCCACATTAAAAAAAAAACAAAAACTTCTTTGAGTTTGAAGTTCTTAAATTTTAAAGTTTACTGTCATTGCCAACTACCTCAGACTTAGCACTTAAGAACAAATATGTAATATGTGGGCATGTGTGTCCCATATGCCTGTGTTTTTTGTGCTTGTAAGAATCAGAGTAACATGAAGGTATTGGTGAATTTAAGTTTCTATTTCTGAGTTGCTAAGAGTTAGATTTTATTCTATTTTTTTTGCAGTACCAGGGATTGAACTCAGTACTGAGCCATTCCCCGGCCAAGAGTTAGATTTGAAATGGATAATACAATTGGGGAAGTAGGATGTCAGTAGGCAAAGGTCTGGAAATACCCATGTAATCATTCTGGGTTAGATAAAAAGAGGAAGAGACTTAGTTTTATACTTCTGTGTTCCTTGAATTTATACAGTAAGATACCTTACTTTTAAGAAGAAGTATAAAAAAATAGTTTTTGGCAACAACATCTGAAAGAAGATGTGTAAGTTTTCAGTAATAAACAAATATTTTAATTCCCCTCAACCTTAGAAAATTTACTGTTTACTTTTAGCAGCTAATTTTTTTATTACATATCTTTATATGAGAAACTCAAGGTGTAATTTATTTTTTTTTAAATTTTTTTCTTTATTTTTTTATTTATTGTGTGTGTGTGTGTG